CACAGGGGTAGCTGCTAATACATCTCACTGACCACAAATAGGTTAACCCAGTAGCAGGTTGCTCATATGACTTAATACGTCACTGTACTGATCTGTTCCATTTCATCTACAGCGAAGAGTTCTTTGCAATAACAGAGGAAATATTCAAGATATAAAATGCTAAATGACCACAAGGATATCGAGGCAGAGCAAGTTTGACGTGACCTGCATACACGTTGGTATTTATTTGTTCTTCTGTATGATAAAAGACAAATACTGTGATTAATGAAGTGATGACAGTGAAGAAACTCGTGTGAGAACCAAGTGGGGGAAAGCAGGACCAAGTAGAAACACGTTAATGTGTCCTAATTTTAACCTTTTTTTAATTGAGATTTTGCCAACCGATCTTAGAGATAGACATGTCAGGTTGAACCCGGTAAGATCCAACATCTAAAGTTATGACTGTCGAAGATAATACTAATATCAAGGGAATTGTTGAACTAACGTATGAAATTGAAAAAAGTACTGAACATTGAATACGTAATTGCCTATCATTTAGTGGGTTTAATATAAAACATTAGCTGTGTCAATGATGGATAAATATTTACTGACTCATTGGTGAGATTGAGGATTACTGATGACAATGTGCTGTGGATAAGGATGTGATAGATGAAGATGCTGGTGTCGATCAGGAGACTGAAATGTGGATTGAAAATAAACTGCTCACTGGAGGTAAGACAAAGGAAATGTAGTTGAAAAGGAGATTTAATGTAATTGAAATTTCGATGCACATATTTTAGAGTGACACACTACTTATAAAACTATTTCAGTGATAAATGAAATTAGATTTCTCGAAATATTATCAATAATCTTTCCACTTTTGATTATGTTCCGCAAGGTGAAAGCTAGCCAAAGTTAAGTAATGAACACGGCAATGTACACTTTGACTACAGTGACCACGTCTGTGTCAATTTTAATATTTAGGTTTAGTTTGAATCTTTGCTAAAGGCTTCAATATCAGTCTAGGGGGAAAAAAGCCTGACCTGACCCCCGCCAGCTCTGAATTGGTGTTTAAATTGGTGTTGGCAGGTATCATGCACAGGTCCGTTTCTCTGTGTTTTAATATGCCACATTAAATCGGTTATATTCAATATGAGGTATGTTCTTATAGTGTGATGCGATGTATGTTGCTTGATGAATATTAAGTAATATCTGATGCTAGCCCAGTCCATTCACCTTGCATTATGGCGTAATCGATGGACCATTGAAGAATAAATACTACACGCATTATCCCAACACCCAATCTACTCAGCTTGCTGGGTTATTCGGAACTGTTACATTTTTCTACTCAGTGTTTTGGAAAAAAACATAAAATGAAGATGTGTAAATAAGATAGTGTGACTTACTTATCTGTAAAAGCCAGAAAAGTAATACTGCATTCACACGTGAAAAAATTCGGATGATTATACACAGTTTCAGTCCAACTCTTCAGCATAAAATACAAGATATGTTTTCTTCAGTTCAGATAAATTTCTCTTTAACCACAAACATGTTAACGAAGTAACAGATAACTTATGGCTTGGTTTTGAAAAACGTTGAATATTTGATTGTATCTTTGATAAATCGCTCATGATAGGGAGGATTTGGGATTGTGCATATTAAGAGGTGCTGACAGAGGAAGTTTATTGATAGTTTTGAAATGCTAAGTATAAAAAACAATATATCTGGAGTATTTATAGGCTCGTCATATTCTAAAATATCATATTGGTTTTAAATCACTTGACGTAATTTAATTGGAAATTAAACGTTGATTTTCCATAAATGCAGATTTCCATTTAACACACAAGGTACGTTTAATCTCGTATTTGACAAATCGTACGAAAAAACAGTTTAATCATTTAGCCTTTGGAGGTTTTATGTTCAACGTTTACCACAAATGGAAGCTTTTTCGCTCAATCACTTAATTAAATATACGACGTCTTTGCTTTTTCCATCATATTTTACCTCAGTTCCCAACCGTTTATCAAAATGAGGTACTCGCAACACCATTCTTCAATAGCTCAGACAGCGTCCTGAAACAACTTAAACAAATTTATAACTGGTTAGAAATCGAAACAAAAATGCCTGATTAGGAATAAAATAGAAATTAAAAAACTGAAAACCGGAAAACTTTCATACCGTTAGCTTACGGCCAAACTGGACATGGGCACTCATCAGACTGATGTGAGTACATGTAGATGTTGTTGCTCTGTGACCGCTAGCTAAGAAAGGCTTGAAAATGAATTGGCTTGTGTTTGATAATTTTCAGTAATTATGAAGTAATGATATTTTGGAAGATATATCTGATCACGAGGGAGAAAATAAGGAAGGGTTTTTATAGGCTCGTCATATTCTAAAAAATCGTATTGTTTTTAAAACACTATAATGATGCCAGACAGTGGATTTAAATGAAAACCAAATGCTGATTTTCCATAAATGCAGCATTTGAATTGGCACGTGAATAAAATCTCGAATTTGTTAGAATGTTCGGAAATAATTAATTATTTTGGCCTGTAAGGTTTTATGCTCAATGTATGCGGCGAAGAGATGCTGTCAGCTGGCTCAGCCATTTCATTAAATATTGCCATCATATTTTACCTGAGCTCCAAACACTAATTAAAACCTTCAGATAAATCAAAAATTATTGACAAAAACAGAAATGGAAACATATGGCATTAAAAAAACAACAGATTTTGCTACTCATGTAAAGACGAGTCATTGAATCACATTGCAATGAAGATCCCAATTCAATCTGATTCTTCTCAAGCCTTTACACCCACTGTCACCCCTTAATTCTCACTTAATTTTTCTAACATTCTTTATAATTTCCTCCTTATTAATGTATATTTTCTCTCAATATGATTATAATAAATGCTGTATTTGAGATCTAAAAGATCAGCATCACGTGCTGTATTAAGCCATATAGGTGTTACTATGCTTACCTGTTTGTGGTAAGGGAGAAATTTACCTGTAACAAGGTGTCGGTGTGATACTGTAGAATAGTCTCTTTTTCTCTAATTTTATCCATCTGTCTTTTCCATTCTTTTCCCCATTGTTGTGTTGTTTTCCAATACCTGACTCTAGAAAGAGATCATGTCTTGTCTGCCCCAGCACTTCACACATTCAACCTTGCGTTGAACATTATCTTTGCAAGACAGCTTGTTCCTATCTCGACACAATTTTCAGCTACTTCATGTCATTTACAAACGCGTTCTTATTAATACGTATTTGAAACATTTCTAAAAGAAACCATTACCTAATGCATACTTTAAATTATTGTATATGGATGTTAATGTACACATAATCGCCAGCTGTTCTGTATTCTCCTTAACGCCAGAAAATGTGTCAATCTGATTGCATTCAGTGAAGTCCCCGTGGAGTTAGTGTACAGTAGAAGAGTCGATATACTGGTGGTGAACGGACCCTTAATTATCTGGTATCCAGGGTTAGATACGGAGCCCTCTTTCCCAATTTAATACAGTGTTTTTTTTTTTTATTTTTTTTTGGTTTTTTAATTTATTCCCGTCACGTAAATTGTAAGGAACAATTACAGCATTCATAGCAAGTATGAAAACACTGCTTAAATATCAATCGACCTGATACATCATTGACGGTCTGCCACATCTTACCCCTGCAGGCCAATGTCATTACGTGTTAAAGCCCAATTGTATGCCCTTAGCAAATTGATAATTTTGAAGCAATATTGCAACATTATTGCAGCAATATTGCTATAAAACAGGGGCGGATTTAGGGTATCTTCTGGGTCTTCCCGAAGACGGTCAGATTTTTAAGTTTACATTGACATTTTTTACATAAGTTTACATTTTCTGTCGGAAGACGGTCAAAAATGAAGGCTGGATCGACAAAGGTAATTGCGAAGACTGTCAGAAAATATTTTGAAAGAAAACATCTCTAGATCCGCCCCTGCAAACCTACTGCTAATTTGCAAGAAGGCGTCGCAGTTTGCAGCAATATTGTAGCAAATTTGTTGCAAATTTGCTGCGTATTTGCAGCAGGCCTGATATTTTGTAAAGGGTGCTGTTTTCAATAAATAATTCGTCACGTTTACGTTACTCCACCATCATTTTCTTTTAAGAGCTTAAACGTTTTTTTAGTTATACACAGTGACCAGGTATAGCATGGGATTGCCCGTGTCTAGGGTGGATAAGCCTATCTATAGGGCACCTGGAGAAAATTTTAAGCTATCTTGGCAAATATCCCTAATGAAGATGTTCTGCTAGACATTGAAATATTGGAGGTAATATCTATTTCATTATCAAGCTGGTGACTGAAGAAAAATTACTTCATTCGTATAACATAACGCAGTTGATGAAATTCTTCCCTGAAATAGGTGTTGTTTTGATTTCACCAGCTGTTATTTAACCGCGCTCAAGGATTGTGGGAAGACAGAAGCTCATCACTAACTAACTGCCTGAGCCATTTTTATACGTTCATCAAGTTTCAGCCCTATCTTTCTTTCCACCCCTATCACGTGAAAAAGAAGAGGTGAGTAGTGAGGCAGAGCAAAACTTCAGAAATTTAAGCTCAGTGAAAATATGCTTCTGTTATCAGTAGCTTCTAAAATAATTTCCTTTCTATTCAATGTAATCTGACTGAACTTGTTTAGGTAATTGTTGTCAGGCAAAAAAGAGCATCAGCCTTAGGACTCCTTGATTTAAGGCATTCCCTTCAATAAAAACATAAATTATGCTGTCTTTCGTGTTCTTTACTGTATCACGATTTCCATATCTATCTTTCATATGTTTCGACTTCTGTGCGGATACAAATGAACAATTTAAAAAATAAAAATGCCAACTCTTTTCCAGACTTTTTAAAACTGAAGAAAAAGTCACAATATAGAGAGGTGTGGAAATCGACATGTTAAAAAATTCGATGACGTCAACATTAATATTCATCTAAACGCCTATTGGTAGATTCTATTCCACCTTAGTTTAAAACTAAGTGAACTGGAGAACTATAAAAGTCCCCACGAGAGATGAGAGATGAGATATCTGCTTACCGACATCATGGATCGACAGCTTATTCCCCTGGCTGTGGCCATACTTCTGGTCTCCTTTGGGCCTGGTACGATGGTAGATGGCGTTCTCACTCCCAAAGAGATTGATTACAAGCTAGCACCATACGCAGGCAACACCTCACATGTACCGGTACCTGGCCAGTACAGCCCTTACAGTAAGTAGACATGACCAGCTTACTATTAGGTTGATTGAGTGTGAGCGTGATGGTTGACAAGAAAACCCACGTACATTTCAGTTGCTACATCAATTTTTGCCACCGTTACGACGAGGTATTGTGTGACCATAGTGACTGTATGATATTCGCTATGGTATGTAATTGAATCACTTTATCTTAGGTTATATTGGTCATAAGGGTGTATATCCCGTAGTTATCGGTCTGATACATTCAAAGTATCAAATGTGAGTGCAAATAGTTTTAATAGTTCATTTCATACCATAGGTCAAATGCTTCAAGGAGTTCGTGTTTACAGAATGTAATAGAAGGCAAAGAAGTGACTAGATTTGTTGGCACACTTTACTTTTACATGTTGTTTTGTCCAAAGGTTGAAATTCTCTGTTCTTTTAGTTAGGAATAGCACCTGTTGGGGACGAGGCGATGTACGTTACCGTACATTTGACGGTCTGAAGTTCCTCTATAACACCCCTACTGATAGACTTGGCATTATGGTAATGCCCTGGGTGGATCTTCCATGGTGGGTGGTTACGACCCAGGAATTCTTTAATGGGGGACCGAAAACGCGCATCGATGAAGTCTACGTTAAGTGTTCAGGCCAATACTTTAGGGCTGTATTAGGTCCTACTGTGGCATTGTGGGTGAGTCTTCTTCCCAATAGTTTTCAATCCAGTGAATGCATTTTGCAATAAGCTGTCGATTTTGTGCACCGTATCCCTTTTTGTTCCTCTCTGTCTATGACCATAGTATTTTGTTTACTATGCGCATTCATAGTGTTCTCAGTACTTAAAGATGCATTCCATTGTGCTATACTAACATGTTTGTTTGCATTTTGTTTCCAGTATTGGTTCATGGGATGGTGGTTTCCAATTCCACTACCACCAGTCATCCTTGCCGGCGGAGCTGTTACCGTGGATTTTTTTGCGCCCAGAGGTTATGTTATACATTGCCATGCCGTTCCAATGACTGTTTATGTCGCTCTGCACTCTGTCTGGATAACCATGACCCCCTTACACTCCGCCGCTGATTTAGGAGTACGTGGTATTTGCGGGGACTACAATGGATTTCCACAAAACGACTTTTCGGACCTAGGGCCGCTCGTCCTTCCGCCATGGAAACCTCTCTTGATTCCTCCCTTGTAAACACAGACAACTAACTGGACTGAATTCCAAACGGATGCGGACAATGAGTTCTGAAATGGGGAACGCAAACTGCATTTTCACTTCTCTTACTTTATTTAAATGTATTCATTATTGGGCTATATGGTAAATATTTCACTACTACATTTATTGTCTTTCCATTTAGGTAATTTTTCGGATAACTGTATTCCATAATTCCATAATAATAGAATGAGGACTGAAAAATGGGGAACGCATACTGCAGTCTCACTAATCTTTCTTAATTTCAAGTATTGATTATTGTATATATAGGGTTTGGATTTTAGTTTACTGGGCTTTCCATTTAGAATCTTTTTCAGGTCACTTTGTCGCTGACGTATTCTGTATTTATTTAATTTTAGCAGTACTCAGTAGAGATGCTGCTTAAGGTCAGATTTTTTGTGAAGACATGCGGTTGTGTATTAATTTTTCGTGTATTATTTTTGATGGTATATTTGATGTAACGTAGACGTCAATGTCACCTTACCGGGTACATAGTCAAGATTGAAATTTACCCAACTAACAAATCCGACATATTTGTGTTTTGATAGCAGAATACCAGAAATGAGTGAAATGACAAAAATATTAATGTATGGGTGTTTTTATCATTTCCATCATCGTGCTTTGCTTAATTCTAAATTTAGATATTTCTGTTAACTATTTTTTCGCTTCTATTAGTGTGGTTGTTCAGTTTTCTATGTCGATGGGTTCTTTTTACTTTTCATGATGCCTTTTTTGATTGTGACAAAATGGCTATTAAATTTAATTAGTTAAGACATTATAGTTAAGCAGAATTCAATTCAGTTTTGATTGTGTATTTTTAATCAGGACTTAATTAATTTTCAATTAAGATATATTTGAGAGGGATTGAAAGTCAAACAAACGTCCAATTTGACCATTTGCCATGCATGGAATATTTGTTGTTGCGTAAAAAGTAAATGTTAGACGCAATAATTGTAGAATTCAACATTTTACGACTAACTGACGTGAGCAAAATATGCACAACAAACGGTGTATAATTATGAGATTTATACCAATTATGTCTTTAGGCTTTGCTTCGGAATAAAGGGTGAAAAAGATAACTGTAGATTTATTTTCCTTATGTGATAATATATGAATGGTTAAGAAGTCATATAGTAGTGTTAGAATGATAGAAATGCTAACTGTCCTTTACATCATGAAGCAAATCGTCCTTCAGATCATCAGAGGCAGAGACACCACCAGTGCTCTGATTACCAAATTGACCACAAGCCACAGCGTCAGAAATAGTATTTTAAAACATCTAATAAAAAGCGAGATACACGTGATTCAAAGGGTCCCCATAGGGTTAAAATGTTGCCACTCGTGGATATCCCAGGGTAATGTCGGCACAATGGGAGGGTCCAAAGGTTCAAAATGATGTCGCTTGGGGATTCACAGAGGTCCATCTCCTTAATAACCGTTTTACTGGTGCATGTAGAGAGATCCGAGGGAAAAGCAGTGCCTGTTGTTAATTGCGCGGTCCAGGCACCAGCACATAAATACCCCAAATGCCTGAATTAATAACAGGGTTTCTTGTGATCTATTTTACTTCAAAAATAAAAAATAGCAAAGGAAACGCTGTATTCCTTAGGGATTATTGCGTAATTTTTTAAATAAAGATTTAATTTATTTAATCATCTTAATGTTTGTTGGTAACTTTGAGAGATGTAAAAAGGAAATAGTTTTGTTTTAGTTACTGCATTCCGTTTCTTCTGAAGATTTTAATTACTGTTTAGAAACTGAGGTATAATATGTTTATTTTGGTTATTATAAGCAAGCTATTAAGTACCCTATAATTTGTGTTTGGAATTCCAAGAATTTTGTCAGTATATGTTAGTTGTAGTCTATTTCCTGTCTTTGAATAAATCTATTCACGGATTTTTCCACAGGGGGCAATTTTTGGACATGTAACTAACAGATGATGAAAGGTTTCACAGTGTCCGTTACAAAAAAGGCACAGTCAGCTACATCTTCAACGCCTATAATTCGTAGATAGTGTTTTGGTGCTAAAATTCTCTTTAAAATTTGAAATAAAAACCAGGCCAGTTTAGTATCTAAAGAGCATTGGAAAGGAATACTATTCAGGACTTTCGGAATATATATATACGGTGCATTACCGTCTTTTTAGATATTCAATATTTAATTATGTGAATGACCAGGAAAGCTTCTATTTTGAACATGAATCCCACACTGCCTGAGTACTGTAAAACCGGTTTCTTGTGATCCATCTGACTTCAAGTATTAAAAAGAAAAGAAAAGAAAACTTAGCAAACGCTGCATTTCTCATTTCGCTGCATTTATTTAGGAATTTTTATAGAAATCCCATTTCATTTATCATTGAAGTACATGTAATTTCAAGGCAATTTTGAGATATGTAATAAGTCAAATATTTTCTTAAAATGAATCAGCGATAAAACCATATTTTGTAAAACTGCTCGGCAAATGGAATTAATAGAGCCATAGTTTTAGAAATCCTCACAGAAAGAAAACCTTTCTTGCTCCTAATAGTAAATGCATTATAAGCATATGTTTCCAAACATATGTACTAGAACAAAGGACTTTAAAACAACTCTTTCTACCGGAAGCGGAATAGATTGGGGGAGGATAAAAATCAGTACAAGGGTAGCAGGCACATCGAAGACATTTTGCCTTTTTGTTTTTATTTCCGACCAGTCCTTTATTTGCGTAAGCTGTTCCATGATGCTATCTGAGCTATTCAAAGAAGACCGTTGCGGGTTAATTATTTGCCCATCCCTCATTTACTCTATTATGAGTTGCAAAATCTACTTTCAACGAGCGTATGTTGCCATTTCTGTTTTAGTCATTGCATTGGTTTTTCTGAATGTTTTAATTACTGTCTAGAATCTTAGGTGAAATATGATGGAAATAGCAAAGACATGTAAAGTGATTGTGTCAGAAAGCTTTCATTTGCGGTAAACATTGCATATAAGACCCTCAGAGGCTAAATAATTAAGTGTTTTTTTCTTATTTTCTATCACATTCGAGATAAATTGTACCTTACGTGTCAAATGGAACGCTTAATTTATGGAAAATCAACATTTAATTTCCATTTAAATCACTTTTCTGAAACCATTCAAGTTATTTAAAGCAAAATAATAATTTAGAACATGACGAGCCTATAAATACTCCAGAAATATTGTTTTTCAAAATGACCATTAAATTTCCTCTGACATTCTTTCAACATCTTTCCTCACTTCCATTATTGTAGTTTCAAATACAATTAGAATTAACATAAATTACATGTTACCCTATAAACCTATTTGTGGCTAGGGGTAAATTTACCTGTAGTGGAGAGAGAGCTCTTGTATTTAAACTTTGCTGATGAGTTGAACTGAAAACTGGTTCATCATAATTTTTCACGTCTGATTACAGTATTACTTCTCTATTTTTAGAGATATGTAAGTTGACTCTTCATTTTACGTTTTTCCGGAAATGCTGAGCTGGAAAATGTAAAAGCTCCTAAAAATTCATCAAGCTGAAGGGATTGGGTTCTGAGACAATGTTTGTAGTATTAATACATGAAAGGTCCATATAGGATGAGTGGTGATAAGAGGGTAAAAGTGCCCACCTTTGTACATGAAAAATAAATTTTGAATGAATGAAAAAAAATGCTACCAAATTAAAATTAAGATCTTACACTTTAATGATCCACTGTAAAAATAATTTTGAAATATCAAAAAATGATGTCAAAATGACCATGTCAAATACTCAAGAACATGTGTGCTTTAGGGGAGTTATGAAATGCATTGTTACATTTCTATAGCTGTAGTAAGGTGACAACTGTGAAATTTTGTAATGGGATACAGAAGGTGCCAGTTTTAAAAAGAAAGACAATAAGTGGCAAATCAGTGCTTGTGATCAAGATTTTGATTGCTTTATTCTTACATGTAGTGCTGATAGAAAAAAAGAATCTCACAATGACTTGAGGATTAAAGATTTTTTTATTTTATATATTATCCCCTGCCTAAGACAAGCTAATTATTCATGGTCGAAAAGACATGAATATAAGGTGAGATATATTTGAAAATCAGCTTGTCTTAGGGTTGGGCTTGATATCTACTCAAAACTTACATGTATGCAGCCAGCCAATATTTTCCCTGCCATGAGGTAGAAAAACAAATCGTATCTTTTGTACACAAAGAACAACTCCGAAAACTAAGGTGTTTGAAAGGGAAGCAGGGGTTAGAATTAGTAAAATTTTTTCGGTTGCAAGCAGAAAAAGAAAATTCATTTTCATATAATACATGCTAAAGAGGAAAATATGGATGAGAAATGGAGTCTAAATACATTTAGTCTATCCTCATTTATTAGAATTAAGAAAGATGAAATGTAAATTGTTCTTCAGATATTTAAAGTTATATTAAGTGCCATTTCACGAGAGAATCAACCAAATCAGCTAAAGTATAGCAAGGTGGGGGTCGGCAGATTCAACCAATATTTTCTGTGTTTGAAAACTGTTACAAAAGATGTTGAAAGCATACAGGGGTACTTTAAAAATTCTGAATTTTTTTGAAAAAAATAGATATTGCCATTTGAAATTTGGGGGACCTGACTACAAAAAATATCGTAACAAAAGTAGTGGAAGTTTGCTTGTAAATTAAATGAAGGGTTTGACATTAACTATTCTTTTTTTCTAAGGGTCCATACCAAGAACTTTCTGATGGTGTGCGACTTAAATGTCAACCAAGTTGCTAAAGTAATGAACTTGGCCCGTAAAAAGAGGGACCAAAATCAATGTCCAAATGTAGCACTCACCAATTGGCAAATTTTGCCTAACACGGCGTCCAATTTGAATAAAAGAACACAATTTTTGGAAAGTTAAGGACTTGAGCTTTGTAATTACACAATAAAAATACTGCATCTTGTCAGGATACGTAGGGGTGGACGTCTACAATGAAGGGTGTGAGCGGTGAGTTATGCGGTGGTTCATTTCTATGGTGCTG